TTCCTTCCACGTGTATATAATAGATCACTAATCAATTTTAAATTCATTAATTATCAAAAGACCAAAATGCCCCTTCCTCTTTTAATCTCTGTTAAACAATATTTCACAAAAATATTCCAAATAAATCCCTAAACTTTTAAATTTTTCAAAATTGACCACAAAATTTCAAAAACTTACATTTTAACCACTAGCCCTATTTTTGGAATGTTACAGGTCCTGTATAATCCACAAATAGCTAACCAAAATAGAAAATGCTACAACTTCAAAACTTACCAAAATAAAATCAAATGCTCTGGTATCCTCCTTGGAACTATTCATTATTGAACTAGCCGTTTGAGTTGGAAAATTTGACTGGAAAATATCAGTAAAAGGTGGTCCTCCATTTGATCAACTGGAAACATGATTAATCCCAATATTTTGTGCATTAAGATTACCAAAGTGTTGTAAGTTAGACATTGCAGCAAGCAATTGCTGCTGAGCAAAGAAACTCCCCACAGCACCGTAATTCATAGGCTGAGAAGAAAAGGCTGGGTTCAACATTATTCCAGGAGGAATGGCATATGACATAGTTCATAAAGGAAACATTGCATTTGTAGTCATCCCAGTGGCTTGAGAACCAAGAATACCGCTTAAAGCATCATTAGAAGCTTGATGGCTAGAATGAGTGTTGATGTTGGCAAATATATTTTCAGGGCCCTCAGAAGTGATTCCTTTCTGCTTCGGATTAGATAGATTTTCTTTCATCGATAAGCCAGCCATTAAATCATTAATGGAGTTGTTTTTATTCTCTGGCTCAAATGGAGTTTCAGAAGTGGTCCCAAAGATATCAATTAGTTCAGATTTTTTATTTGCAGCCACATGATTACTATTGATAACTGACTTGTCATCTATTGTTATCCCAGAGAAGAGATCAACCACATTTTCTCTACTCTCACCAGTGTGAAATGAGACACCTACAAAGGGATCGTCATCATCTTTCTGTTCGGTGGCACCAATACCAGCATCTATACCATCTCCAAACAAGTCATCAATAAGCGGGGTTGTAGTCAGGTTTGCAGTATTTTGATTATTTGGGTCTTTTGAGGAAGTATCTTGTCCATCATAATACTAGCCAAGCCACCAGCTTGTTCCCCATTCAAAAGGATCAACACCTGTATATCAAGATCACTCGATTTCATTCGCAGAAAATAATATATTACCAGCTATAAATCAGCACCAAATACATAATAACTAATAAAGCTCATATAACATTAAGAATCATGGCAATTAAAGTGAAGATTAAGCACAATGATCATACAAAGAACATGAAACAAAGAACATGAATAAGAAAGCAATTGAAATATAATGTGACGACTGCAAGAACCAATCCTAGATGTCTTGATCTATAGGCTTGAACAAAAGTAAGAATAAATATGCCCTCAATAAAAAATAAAGAGTAAACAACATGAAGGGTCAAAATTCTTTTTTGAACAGTTGTTTAAGGGGAAAACAAACAAGCATATAAAAATAAATATAATAGATAATAAAATTTCCTTTTTCTAATTTAAAAGAAGAAACTAATACTCTACATCAACTTAGATTTGCATAATATATTCCATTAGTAAATGCATGGCCTTAATGAATCCAAACAGGAAGGAAAGATCAATCATTCTCCCTACCGTAAACCAAAAAACAACCATCATCCAAAAAGAACTTTAACTGAAATTTTCCATAGGCTCAAAGCAAGTTCTCAAGCATAAATTAGTTGAATTTTCTTTTATCCCCCATGAATTCAGTTTACTCTATTTAATCAGCTTGTTTTAGCTGTGCTTAGCAAAACAAAGCGAGAGAAAAAACAAAAAGAAAACCATACAATCATGGCACCAAAAAAGGCATCCTAGACAGGACCTTAAATTTTAAAAAGAATGATGTTTTTTCAGGTTAAAGGAAAGGAAAAACAGAAGGTTGACTAAGATAAATACCTTGTTGGTCTTTTCTCTGAGAGAAGCTTGGGGAGACTCGGAACATCTCGAAACAATAGCTTTGTTCTCAGTAAAATAAGAAGCCACAATTACAAAAATGCTCATCTTTCTTTCTTCTCAAAATGGACTCAAGCACACACATAGCTTTCATGCGAACCTGACCATAAAATAATTCATGTTAAGGTTAAAAGATAACTAAAAAAACAAATACTCCATTCATTGTTTTTGAAGAAATCAATACAGATTTATCACCAATATGAAACACGATCACATAACGAGAACAAACAAATAGTTTGATTGCATGATTGTCAAGTGTTCAAGATGATAATGGATTGGGTAGATTTCCTGCGTAAAGTTAAGTAACCCTCACCCTGTGGCCTTGTCATAAAATGATTCATCGCATAGAAGCGAAGAGTTACCTGCCACACTGGAGATAGAAGCTTAGATTCAAGAGCATGACTTACAGCCAATGCATCAAGCCTTGCAGCCTCCATAAGGAAAGCCTGAATAGCATCACGGGTAGGTTGTAGTCGTACACCACGAGATGTAACTATGGTTTCCAACAATCTCTCTTCACGAGTTTTAGACTCTGAATGATTTGAGCTAGATTCGACACTTGTTTCCGCCTTTAATACTCTTGAATCCTGCCCCTAAGGTCCACTAGAAATATTCCTAGAAACCTCCCGAGTGTCACTGTGCAATTCAACTGGATCATACCTATCAGAATTATCAATTTCTGTAGTCAACGACCTTCGAAGAGCAGGACTTTTGTAGTTTCCATTATCATTCTTTCTAACTGAACGACCCTGAGTGAAACTACTAATTCCCTGTTTGATAGAAGAACTTCCAATACCAACTACCTCACTTAGAAAAGATTTCTTCTCACTCGATGGCATTTCAAAGTTTGTGTTGCCAAATCCTTCTATTCGTTTGTTAAAGTCATCTACTGGAGGAGGCTTACTAGTATTATTTTCCTCTGAAAATATAGCAGAAATGGCCTCATGAGCTGTTTCCCGCACGGCCTTATTAAGTGCATCCCCCTTCAAAGGATCCGGCTGCCCCTTATAATGAAATAACTGACGTACAGCTACTGAGTTCCTCTGCATCTCTCTACTAAACTCCACACCAGACTTTCCCACTGCATATTTGATCAGCCTCAAAGCCTGCAAAAATCACACCACCCACTGAGTATCATGTTTTAATAATTCAAAATTATGAAACAACTAGCCTACACATTAAACAGGCAACATTTACATACCAAAAACTTCTTCGCCTTAAAAGGATATTAGGCTTCTATGATTGTTATTTTTTGTTAATATACTTTTTCTTTTAGTTTCGATTATATGCAAAAACAAAGTGATTCTTTGGTACTGATATTTAACAACTTCGCTAAAATTTTATAACCATTACCTACTACTCAAGTAAAATTGAGTTAAAGTTCTCAATTCTTAAGAACTTTCTCGGACTTTTCTTTTTTCGGTTAAAACAACAGATACCGTTACAACTGTCTAGATTCCATCATACAACCAAACAGAAATGAAAATTCAAAGCGAATTGAAAGAAATTGCCTTCTGCTTGACAATAAGACTTTGTGATCGAGTCGCTTCAAGATAAACTCTGACACCTCTTTAACAACACTAACATGCACCGATCTCAAGAGCTCGCAGATCACTTCTAACTTATAAACGGGGGTTACTTTATCTTCATCCGAGGTTGCCCCATCGATCATCCGCGATCTCCAGTACGACTCCAACGCTCGCCTTCTGGAATCCATTTATAAATAAAAAAGGACCAACAACACACAAATTGTTTGATTGAATTTCAAGGTTTAAGATCGATCTATTTGCTTGATCGATTGGTTGAAGGGCTGTCAAAAAAGGGACGGACATGATCGAGACTAATTGGAAATTGAATAGGACTTGTGTTTTTTCTTTCAATTTTGCAATTTGATTTCTTTTCCTTCTAGTAATTAGGGAAAGAAAGAGCAAAGAGCAAGAATCTGAAAACCTGGAATTATGGACAGCACTGTGCGAATGATATTCACGTAATTGTTGTCCTGAAAGGAAATTTATTGAATCGCGTTTTTAAATTTGATCTTTGCCCATTGCTGTTAGTACCGTTTGTTTATGTCTGGGCCCGGCCCTTTATAGACCCTGGTTTGAGTTGGTTTTCGTATTTATTAACGGATAAAACAAGCAGTATCGGTCCATTTCTCTTTCTCCATTTCAAAATGATTTTGAAAAAATTGATGAGTTACTACTAGAGTTCGATATCAACTTTTTAGTTAATATCAATTTCAACCTCCATTTTTGGATTTTTTTTTCAGATCTTTTAGAATAACGATATTTTCTTTTATCACTATACTCTGAATATATTTCAGTTCATATTCTTTTATTTTATGAAAGAAATGAATCAATTTATTACTAGTATCATGTAGGTATACAAGTTTTGTTAACGGTCATATCATCCTCCATTAAAGGGATGATTGTTACCCTTAGAGATCCCAAGTTCATTCAAGTATTAGAGACTACAAAGATGTTTAAACTTTCATTGTCAAATGATTAAGAATCTGTAGAACATATATTATCTTATAATCACCCTACATTAATAAAAATATATCATTTTACAACTTTTAATTAGTCAAGTGATTATTTTATAACTTTTTATAATAAGGTGACCCAATTGAAAAGTATCTTATAATCAAGGGACCATTTGCATCATTAGCCCTATATCGATTTGTATATAATATTCGTTCTAAAATTGATAGCAAATTTCAAGTATTGTTTTTATTTGGATATCATTAGGTAATCGGTAGTACGAAAGCTGCTCTCAGCCTGGTGTTAGGGACAACCTACTATCTTACCTCCCCTTACCCATATATATATATGGGAAAAAGGACAACAATTTTTATGTAATCGGTAGTACCATTTCGTAATCACCACGTCAAATTAATCACTTAGTTACAAGGGGAAAGTGAATAAATTAGAAAGGTGAGCTTAATGTTCTGCATACAAAGAACAGCCTATCACAAGTATAAAAGACGTGTAAACGAGCAACCTTATAATTGTCTTCTTCCAATTACAGAAATAAAAAAAGATTAAAGAAAAGTTCCTTTCTTTTCCTTGTTTTATCTGAAAATTAAGCTAAGGAATCTGAACAATTTCAATTAAAATCTTGTGAAGTGACTGTGGTTTCGAGAAGAATGGGCAGTGATCACTCCCTTTGATCTTAAAAACTCCTTCTGGTGGATTTTCTCTGACTAGCTTTTCTTGTACATCCGGCGAAAGAGCACGATCGTCCAACGCCTGAATGTAGAAGCGCCGTCCGGCTCCGTATTTGTCAGGGGTCAACGACAGTTTCTCCATGATAGGACCTAGTGGGGTGGATCTCATGGACACCATGGCCAAAGCAACATCCTGCAATGAACCAAATACCATGTTTTAAATAGGTTAGTGTCAATCATCTTATTGTGTATCTTCTTATGTCCTTGCAAAGACAACAAGAAACATATAAAACATATATTGGCTCCAAAATGACCATTGACAAATGCTCTGTTGCAAGAGAGGAATAAAAAGAACAACGAATCCTACACGTATATAGCCTGAAAAGTGCTCATCGATAACCAGATTTATGTGGCTGACAAGTAAGGTTGTATCATACCTTTGTTGGCGATTGATTGAAATATAACCCTTTCATCAGCTGTTTCTCAAACATGAACCCTGTAGGAGGCTTATCTTTGCCATTTCCATGAATCAAAAACTGTGACTCTTGCATAAAACGTTCAGCAGAGCCAAGCTGTAATAAAAGAAGTTTTGGTGTCAACCAGATAATTAAGAGCAACGAAAACTATGGGATAACTTTCGCTACAAAATTTCAGTAGTAATAATGTTTGGTTGATATCAGTCCATGACAAAATGCATGATGAAAATTTTGCTTTAGAAGTCTAAAACTTTCTGTTTATTTGTTAGCAGAATTCAAATGATTCAAGAAAAATCATTTACAAATGACATTAGAGAAAGGTAGCATGTTATGCTCGTACAACAGGCAAAATAAATTAGTGTATTCCGAACAGAATCATTTAACGGATACTTAGATAAGACAACCAGGCATCAGCAGAATACCTCTTCGGCAAACACGTCGAAAGGTCTCTGACCGTTAGACACCATTGTAGCGCAAAGGTAAATTGCTTTGGAGATCTTTTCTGGGAAATGTTCCAATGCATAAGAAAGGCAAGCGCCTCCGCTGCTATGACCCACCAAAACAACCTGCATGTATAGTTCATTAATCAAGATGGTTTAACATAACAGATGGCAAAGCTTTGGTGATATCCAATGTACCCTCTTACCTTCCCATCTTTGGGGAGATTCTCTAGATACTTAATCAATGGTTGCGAATATTCTGCCAACGTTGTGACCGTGTTTGTATCCGTGAGATCAATACCGGAGCCTGTGAGATCCAATGCAGTAGGCTGAAGGCCCACTTCCTCCAAATGAGCAATCGTTTTATACCAACACCAAGCTCCAAAGCCTTCTCCATGTAGCAGAACAATCTTTTTGAACTTAATCTTTTCAAGAGATTCCAGTACCTGCAGGTAAAATGATGCAGTACAGACATAAGTTTATTATAGAAAGGAGGTATAAGGTTTAAAGATGTTATACAAGTACATAGAATTTTATCACTGATCTTTTCACCAGCCTTAATGGTCCATGATCCACATCCTTATCTTCATAGCACAATAGAATAAAACATGACTTTTCGAAATTGCCTTTCTCAAAACAAAAGTAATAGGGCTTGTAAAGATTTAAACTTTAAAAAGATCATGACAAAAAGCGCATGTCATGAGATCCCTTAACTTTTGATAAAATTTAAAGAAAAACAAACCAGAACAGATCCCTTTATTTTCTCAACTAAAATTATATTATTACTTAAAAACTAACTTGGATATATAGAATTGCAGAATGCTAAAAGCATGGTGAATCAACTAATGCTTTCAAAGGTTCTCCTTTATAAGCTTGGCCATTGACTAGTACTGTTTTTCAAGGTTTGCAATCAATCATAAACCCCCATTATTTCATCATAGATCCAATCAATTAAAACGGTATCTAACATAATGATTACACATGGAAGCAAAGTTTAAGTAATTTAATATCTTTATTCAAAACAAATAAATAACCCACCTTTTTTTCGTTATTAGTTAATGGATCAGTGTGCCTTCTGGAGCTGGTAGAGCCAATTCTCCTAGACATGGATCCATCAAATCTCTGAGACAATTGGTGCTGATGGAGAGCCATAGACAAAGCTTGCTTATGCAAAAACTCTTCTTCCGCAAGCATTTTCCTTTGAGACCTTCCCTTTCTCTTGCTTCTCGATCCATTATCTTTTGTGTCTTTCTTTGTCCTGCAAATCAAGCTATTGCCCATTGTTCACCTTTTAACACAACCCCGAAAGCTTAACGGGCATTTCTGCTGGGAAATGGAAGAAAGCAAGAAATTTTCCAGGAAAGAGTCCAAGAGAGGTTCTTTAAAGAATTTAGAAAACAACATCTACCATATATGAAAGAATTAGTTGAAAAAATGAGATAATAAGAGGAGAGAGAGACAAAAAGTTTGGGAAGAAGTAGGTTATTAAATCAAAATCAAAATAAACAAACGTGTGAAACAACTCCTTAAATCAAAGAGCCAACTAAATTTAAGTGCTATTTATTGTTTCTGATACTCTGATATGACCTTGTCTTGCAAAGGTAGGAGACTTCCAATGCTTTACGCTTCCCTTCTCTCTCTCTCTCACTATTTCTCCCGTAGAAAATTGTAGACTTCGAGTAATTACACTCTGAAAATCTTAATATATGAATAAGAAAATATTTTATCATAAATATTAATATTTTTTTTGATATTCTTAATAAAACGTTACTTAAATATTTTTTATCAGAAATATTAATTTAGTTACATAATTTTTGGTTAAAAAAAAATATTTTAGGTAATATTTAATAGCGAAAATAACTTCAGTGACAAAAAATGTCTTATAATATACGAATTTAACTAACTTTTTTTTTAGATTTGCCAAAATGACCAACAAATTCGCAACGCGAATTCCAATTTCTCAACCTAGTTTTCAATTTCTCAACGCGAATATGTAAATCGCATTGCGATTTTCTAAATTCGCAACGCGATAGTCAAATTCGCAACTGAATTTCAAATTTGCAACGCGAATTTAATTTCGCAACAGGTTTTAGTTTCGCAACACAAATATTTTGGGTATATAACAACGCAGCAGCAACAACTCATAACCTAAATCCCTAAATCGCAACTCATTCCATCTCCATCTATCACTCTCTCCGGCGACATCCGTTCCTATATCCAACGACATCCTTCCCCATCTCTATTTTTTTACATAATTTTATTTCTATATAATTTTGCAATGATTTCTCTCCCAAATTATCAACTATCAACTTAATAAAGGTATTTTTTTCTCTAAGTTAGTGATGATATCTAGTTTATAGCTCGTTTGTTTAGTAAATTAATTTATAATTTTTAGAATGAAATCATCTAATGTTGATCATGTTTGGATAGATTTGTGTTTTGGAAGGTCATGGGAGAATGTTCATGGTGTTTTACAATATGTGCCTTTACCCATGAATCTTCAACTAAAACTGTCATTAAAAAAGTTAACTTATGAAACTCTAATATTACGTGTTGCAAAGAAATTGAATTTAGAGCTCTAAGTGGATTTAGGCTATCTTGTCTGAGAAAATGTAAAGTTTATTTGTTAACCGACAATGAAGATGTTGAACGATTCATTGCTTACATTAGTGTTTCGCAAGAAGATGATGTTACATTATATGTTGTTGAACCTAGAAGTAGTGAAGTTGGGTCAGTAGCGGGTAGTAATCAACTAAGTTATTCAACCCAAAATTTAATGGTTCCACCACAATTTCATCACCAAGCAAATTTTGTTTCACCACATTTCCAATACCAAACACAATATCAAAACCCATAACCTTTTCCTAATCCAAATCCCAATCAACTTTCAGCACCAAATTCCGGGTTTTCGTATTGACCAGTTAGACCATTATGAGCCAACAAAAAATTGTGAGTACTAGTCAGTATTCGAAATTTGATCTTGGTCAATACTCGGACTTTGATCTTGGTCAATACTCGGATTTTGATGATGTGATGGAAGAAGAAACAGACCCTGCATGTAATGATTTTGATATTGGTCAATACCCGAATTTTGATGATGAAATAGCCGCTGCCGAGGAAGATGTTGTTGATGATAATGAGGAGGAAGTTACGACTATGAATGAACATGTTGAACATTCATTCTGTAATTCATATAAACCTGAAGAAGAAAAAGAAGAAGTCCCCGAAGAAAGGAAAAAGAAAAAAAAATGCCACGGGAGTATAACTGGAATATGCCAGAATTACTTCATATACCGGAAGAAGAGTTGGTAAAGATATCAGTTGATTGTTACACAAAAGTTATTCGTATCAAGAAATATGATTGTTTTGATACAAAGGAAGACTTGAAGATAGCTTTTGTATACGAAATGTGTGGAAGATGGCTATCAACTAAGAGTTAACAAATCAAGCAAATATCATTTTGAAACAATGTGTATGATTGACAAAAACTGTACGTGGCGTATGATTGCAAAGAGGATAAAAGATTACGAAATGTTTCAAGTTAGGACTTTTATTAATAAACATACATATTCAAGAACCCAAGTTTTTCCTCACCATAGACAGGCAAACAAAAAGGTGTTGGGTGGTTTTCTGGCTGAGTTAATGTTTTTAAATGGAAGGGTATATCGGGGACAAGAAATTATGACTGACATGAATGCTCGGTTCAAGATTAGTATCTCATATTCTCAAGCTTGGAGAGCCAAATGTTATGCCTTGGAATTATTGAGGGGGTCTCCAGAAGCATCGTTTGCCCAACTACCGCCTTATTGTCACAATTTAAAGCTGAAAAATCCTGGGTCGGTAACTCATATAAAAACAGATAGAGATTGACGCTTTGAGTTGCTATTTATCGCCATTGGTGCTGCGGTTAGTAAATAATATAATTTTGTTGACTCATTTTTGTTAGTTGCATGCATTTCACATTTAAATGATTATATTTCTTGTGTATATGATTTTGTAGATTCGTTCATTTATTACTTGCATGCGCCCAGTTATTATAGTTGATGGAGCACATTTGAAAGGTTGATACCTTGGAGTAAACTTATTAGCAGTAGCCATGGATGCTAACAATGGGATACTGCCAATAGCTTACGGGGTTGGCAAATCTGAAACCTCTGATTCATGGATATGGTTTATGAGGCATCTTAAGGATTGTATAGGTCCTATTAGCAATCTGACAATCATATCCGATAGGGCAAACTCAATTGACAATGCTATTAGAAGGTGTTTCACAGATGCTTTTCATGGACTTTGTGGTGTTCATTTGTATAGAAATCTAAAATAAAGGTCTGCTGGTATAAAAAATCACAAATGGACATACTGGAAGGCTGTAAAAGCTTATCAGGAAGTGGATTTTAATAAGCATATAAATTGTTTAAGACGTGTTTTACCTCAATGTGCTCAAACACTAGAAGATGTCGGGTTTGAAAGATGGTCAAGAGTACATCAACTTGGAGCAAGATATGGTTTCATGATGTCTAATAGTGCAGAATCAATCAACTCTCTAAGTCGTCATTCCCAGAAATTACTCATTACTATGTTAATGGAGTTTTTTCGAGCCTCTATTCAATAGTGGTACTACAAGAAAAGAAACCATGCAGGTATTATTTCTTTAATTTCGTAACTTATCATATATTTTACTAAGTATTATTTATTTAAATTTACAGGAACATTGGAACGTCGTGTTACACCATAGACTGAAAAAAAGATAACGAAACGTGTTGTGAAGTCAACGTCCTGGAGAGTTAAATCATGTTCAAACACTTTGTTTGAAGTATTGGATAATAACTTAAATGGGCTTGTCGATCTAAATGCAAAGACGTGTAGTTGTAAGAAATGACAAACATCTGGTTATCCGTGTAGCCATGTTATAAAAGTTGCTCTTCATCTAAACCAAGATGATTCAAGCGCATACGCTATGGATTGCTACACTACAGAAGTATATCGACAGACTTTTGTCGAGATTGTCTACCCATGTCCACATCCTTCTGAGTTGGACATACCAGATGACTTACAAACAGTTTTGCCACTAGTCATGAACAGCAGGCTACCTGGCCGACCAAAAAATCACGATAGTATACCGTCTAAGGGTGAAGAGAAGAGGATATCGACATGTAGTCAGTGCAAGGAGAGTGGTCATACAAGGTTGACCTGTGGATCACCAGTGCCATCACAATCATCTTTTCCTCTACCAAAAAATGGATCCTCATCAAAATCCAAAGCTCATATGGTGTCAAACAAAAGGAAATCAAAAATCAAAATCCCAATCACAACCGGCTTCACCTTTTGGGACTTATTAACTTAGGTGATTTTTAAATGCAAACGTTGTATTATGTGTATTTTATGTGTGAAAGCATACATTTTCAGTTAGACATTCATTAGTAACTTGAGTTTGAACATTGCTATGATTTGTTCAGTTGTTATCATGTTGGGATTTTCTCTTGTGTTTGATTGCTTGGATAGTTGTTCTCTTGCTTCTTCAAGTGTCTTTAGCTTGTATTTATAGCTTGGAATGTGTTTGATGTTGTATATACATTGATGTTGTATGTTGCGATCAACGCGAAAGTCAAATTCGCAACACGAAAGTCAAATTCGCAATGCGAAATAAGCGTTGCGAATTTGACTTTCGCGTTGCGAATTTACCTTCAACAAGTCTTTTTTACCTTCAACATAATTCAGATTGAAAATTAAACAACAAATCAATTAAACATTGTTGTGGGTACATTATTTGAATATTGTTATGAGTACATTATTTGGAAAAATAATGTCTCGGACTTCATTAGAAATAACCCTTTTTCATCGGATTAATTTTGTTTTTGTGGGTACATTATTTGAACATTGTTATGTATAAATTTATTGTGTATGTATGTTTTGGTTTGATTATATTATATGTATATTTTCATTCAGATGAGATGAGATGTGTATAACAAAACAATCTATCTCTTCTATGTGAGTACTTTATTCCAACCATGTTACAAGTGTGACAACCCCATCAACTCACAACTCAGCTTTGAACTCAATCAATATTGACTTTTAGCTTGATGGTTCATAAAGCATATTATTTGAACAGTATGAATCAATTATGCAATTTCCATGTTCAATTTAACACTGCATTTCATATGTAATTAGAGTTTGAATTTAAATTTCAATTTGAGTTTGAGTTTGAATTTCAATATAAATTTCGGCACCACTATAAATATTAGCCCAAGCCAATATGCATGTTATCATTGATTATTCCTAATTTCCATTGTTTTTTTCAACTTTAAACGCGAGGGAAATCCCGACCATCGTATTATTTGGTCAACTTTAAAGCGTCAGAAACGTTTCGGGCGTATGATATGGGTGGTATACGATAAATGCAATAAATGACAACTAAAAATCCCGATAATTGAGGGCTACAACTTGTAATAATAACAAAAATAATAAGTCCGAAATGCTTCTGAGTACCACCCAAATCATAAGTCTGAAATGCTTCTGATGCTCATCAAAATCCAAAGCTCATATGGTGCCAAGCAAAAGGAAATCAAAATCCAAATCTCATATGGTGTCAAGCAAAAGGAAATCAAAATCTACAACTTGAGTTTGAACATTGAAA